TGGTCAAGCCGCTCCTCTTCACCGTGGGGGTAAGAGGCTCCCGCGGGCCGGGGGTTGCGGTGTCCAGCCGGGGGGCAGTGGGGTCGGGAGGGAGCCCCGTCTGTCAGCGGTGCCTCCGTTCCCGTTAACGTGCTGGCATTGCTCCGGGCTGAGCAGCTGGGAGCGGCGTGTAACGTAGGGCCGGGGCGAGCCTGGCGTCCTCAGCCGCGGCCACGCACGGGCCGCCCTCGGGCCGGTGCGCTCCGTTTGACTTTATCCGGTGTCGCCCAGTTCACAGGCTCTGCCTTCGCATCCGCCGCCATCTGGCAGTATGAGTCGCTCAAGTCGCGGGTCCAGACCTATTTTGAGGAAGCCCGAGCAGACTGGTTGGATAAAATACGGCCGCAGAAGCGGGGGGACTTCAGAAAGCAGGTACACGGAGCCTGGCCTGGCCTGTTTGCACACGGGTGGGTCCCTGCAGAAGCATAAAACACGACCGCGTCTTTCCTCTGGTGTAGGCACATCTGCGAGCACCACTGTACAACAGATGCTTGCCCGGTTTGTCCTGATTTTTGACTTGGAGAAGTAATAGGCGCTCAGCAAATTACAGTAGATACATTTCACTAGGAGAAAAGCTGGTACAATTAGTTCTCAAAAACTGTAACTTACAATATCACCGCAAAAGCTATACTGGAGAAAAATACCTTCTTCACCCTGAAATGCAGGGAAGAGAGGTCAGTAGTAGCAGTTTCCTTATCTAAACTAGGTGCCTTTTACTCTTTCACTATAAAAAAAAAATTCTGTTCTTGCTCAGTCTGAGTGTTCTCAAAAGTGACCATGAACTCTGAAAGCCAACAGAGATAGCTTAAATTCTGAAGCAGAAAAACCTTTTAACACTCTGGGCTTCTGAAATGCATTCATATTTTCCACCTGTATTTCACAAATACGAGGGTTTAGAGGGGTTTTTTATTTATGAGAGGCGACATTTCCGTACAAATACTTTGGACTTTGGGCAGTAAAAACAATGCAAATACTGCAAGATTTGGTATAAATGTAGTTGACATCCCAAAAGGTGTCAGCCATTTAGTTTTCAATTAAGTGTATTTGAAACTAAACATGCATGTATGTTTTACATTTGTTTCAAGGTTACTTCTGTGGCTTGCAATAGACCAGGCTTGATTCCTCTTTCAGGTCTGCTTGTCCAAGGGAAGTAGGGCTGAGTGTGGAGCTGGAGAAGCACGGGGGTCTGGGTAGGACACAGAGGAGCTGTTTTTGTAATGTGTGTTGTGCGCACTGTGGTGGTACTTCCAAAATGGGCACGTGTTGTGGGTTAACCCTGGTGGGCAGCTGTGCACCACACAGCTGCTCATCACTTCCCCCACAAACCCCCAGTGGCATGGGGGGAGAGGAAAGGAGGAACAAATGCAAGAAAACTTGGGGGTAAATATAAAACTAGTAAGTGAAGGATAAGTGGGAGAAGAGAGAAGAAAGCAAAACAAGGGATGCGAAGGCAATCACTCACCATCTGCTGTGGGTAGACCAATGCCCAGCCAGTTCATGAGCAAAAGATGCCTAAACCCCCTAAAATCCCGTCTTTTCCCTTTTATTGCTGAGCACGACATATGGTAGGGAATATCCCTGGTTAGTTTGGGTCATCTGCCAGGTTGTGTCCCCTCCCAGTCTGTTGCACACCCCCAGTCTATTCACTGCAGGGGCAGAGTTAGAAACGGAAAAGGTCTCAATGCTGTGCAAACACTGTTCAGCAAAAGCTAGAAGCATAAAACACGACCGCGTCTTTCCTCTGGTGTAGGCACATCTGCGAGCACCACTGTACAACAGATGCTTGCCCGGTTTGTCCTGATTTTTGACTTGGAGAAGTAATAGGCGCTCAGCAAATTACAGTAGATACATTTCACTAGGAGAAAAGCTGGTACAATTAGTTCTCAAAAACTGTAACTTACAATATCACCGCAAAAGCTATACTGGAGAAAAATACCTTCTTCACCCTGAAATGCAGGGAAGAGAGGTCAGTAGTAGCAGTTTCCTTATCTAAACTAGGTGCCTTTTACTCTTTCACTATAAAAAAAAATTCTGTTCTTGCTCAGTCTGAGTGTTCTCAAAAGTGACCATGAACTCTGAAAGCCAACAGAGATAGCTTAAATTCTGAAGCAGAAAAACCTTTTAACACTCTGGGCTTCTGAAATGCATTCATATTTTCCACCTGTATTTCACAAATACGAGGGTTTAGAGGGGTTTTTTATTTATGAGAGGCGACATTTCCGTACAAATACTTTGGACTTTGGGCAGTAAAAACAATGCAAATACTGCAAGATTTGGTATAAATGTAGTTGACATCCCAAAAGGTGTCAGCCATTTAGTTTTCAATTAAGTGTATTTGAAACTAAACATGCATGTATGTTTTACATTTGTTTCAAGGTTACTTCTGTGGCTTGCAATAGACCAGGCTTGATTCCTCTTTCAGGTCTGCTTGTCCAAGGGAAGTAGGGCTGAGTGTGGAGCTGGAGAAGCACGGGGGTCTGGGTAGGACACAGAGGAGCTGTTTTTGTAATGTGTGTTGTGCGCACTGTGGTGGTACTTCCAAAATGGGCACGTGTTGTGGGTTAACCCTGGTGGGCAGCTGTGCACCACACAGCTGCTCATCACTTCCCCCACAAACCCCCAGTGGCATGGGGGGAGAGGAAAGGAGGAACAAATGCAAGAAAACTTGGGGGTAAATATAAAACTAGTAAGTGAAGGATAAGTGGGAGAAGAGAGAAGAAAGCAAAACAAGGGATGCGAAGGCAATCACTCACCATCTGCTGTGGGTAGACCAATGCCCAGCCAGTTCATGAGCAAAAGATGCCTAAACCCCCTAAAATCCCGTCTTTTCCCTTTTATTGCTGAGCACGACATATGGTAGGGAATATCCCTGGTTAGTTTGGGTCATCTGCCAGGTTGTGTCCCCTCCCAGTCTGTTGCACACCCCCAGTCTATTCACTGCAGGGGCAGAGTTAGAAACGGAAAAGGTCTCAATGCTGTGCAAACACTGTTCAGCAAAAGCTAGTAACATTAGTACTGTTTTAGTCAGTCTAAATCTAAAACACAGCACCATGTATGAGCTGCTGTAAAGAAAATTAACTCTATCCTAGCCAGGCCCAGTGCAGCATGCTTTCTTGCTCCTTGTATATGAACTGCAGGTGAGATTATGATTGCCACTTAATATTTTAAATAATTTTGGTTTTATACTTTTGTTTTCCTTCAAAACCTGGAGGGGAAGATCTGGTGATTAGCTATGCAAAAAATAACCCAAAACTGCCCTGTTGTTAATAGGCTTAAACTCCTAATCCCCATCTTCAACTGGTAAGTTCTATTTTTAAAAGTTCAGGCTCCCCAGAGAGCTTCTGAGGGCATCTACTACTTGTATTGTAGAAAAATCATGTTTGTTTAGTGTTCTTATAACTGGAGAACTTTGTAGGAAATGCTCATATCTGTATCCTGTGCCAGAGAATTAAACAAAAAATGCAGTGAAGTTGTTACTTTGATATCAAATAGTGATTATTTGTTTCATACAGCATTACTTCCCCCCACCCCCAACCTACAGATCATTTTTATGACATTGTCCCCAACAATATGGTTGGAAGGTCATTGAGCTATCAATAAAATATTTGTCTGAAACGATTCTGAAAGCTGAGGAAGGGAAGGGGGGGTGGAATTTGTCTGTGGGCTGACTGCGCTCAAAATAAACTTTTTCAGGGGTTTTATACTTGGAGGAGGGCTGGGTGAGCTGGACGCAAGGGGGAATGGATTCCACATCTTGTGAGCCACCTCTGCAAAAGTGACCCTGGCACAAAAGTGGAATCTCTCAAAGGTGGGTGGTGTGATGTTAGCATTAGGGTGACGCTTAGTCAAGGTAGGGTTTATGCTAACTTTGGCCAGTCAGCTGAAGTAAGCATTGTGGGCTAGATCCTTGTTTAGTACAAGCAGAGCGTAAAAGGATATAACCCCATTCTTTTTGAAGCAACTCTTCATCTCTGTTGGGATATTTTATGAAAAGTAAGGTAGATAACTATTCTTGAGTAAGGAAATGCCAACTTGAAAAGCTAAACCAATCAGAATTTTAAAAGTTTGAAACCAATTTAACAGATTTCAAAGAAATGCTTTCCATTCTTAAAAGGGTAGAACCTTGTGTGACTGTTGTTGAAATTGCAAATACTCTACAGCAGCACTGATGTGCAACAATTCCATTTCAGGTTAACAGATGGTGGAATAACCTGACTGAGGGTCAGCGGACTGTGACAGGTTTGTGTTAGCTTACAAGTATTAGACATTCACAGGAAAAGAAATATGGCAAACAGGTACAGTATGTTAAAACAGATGGCTTTCATATCACGTTTAGGTTGTTAGGCACAAAGCATGTGTAAACTTACACCTGCACATACACTATTTCTGCTACACTTCCTTCTCACTATTTTTTGTATGCATTAAAAACATTCCTATGCACCTGTGTGAGAGTGTGGAGGATTAGCTAGAATCTTCCCCTAGCAACATTTTTCTTGGGAACTGTGAAAAACAGCAACAGCTTTTAGAAGGAATATGAGGATGGATTCCACTGTTACGTGGAAATAAAACTCCCTGATATTTTTTTGCTCTTTTACATGTTGCAAAGAAGAAGCCACTATCATGTGAGCTTTCCTTTGGTTGTGATGTCGTTGTGATTGGTTAGCCTAACATCACTTGAAAGCCCCAAGGTAAATGTAATGTGTGGAGAGAAATTGATGAGAACTTGATCAAAATCTAACAGAAGTAGCTAAGCCATATCTGCTTCTATATATTCTACATGCTAACAAATCCTGTCAAGAATTTTTGTACGATGCTTTGAATTGCTCTTCAACATGTAAGCCAAGTCACGATACAGATACAAGTATTGTACTGGGGTGTGGGGGGGTGAAGATTCGTATTTGGTAGTCCGTAGAGCATTCCTCAACATTGAGTTAATCTAACAAGCAATATAAATTCTAGCTGGTAGACCCTGAGCCATTCGGATACTTAACCCTGATTGCCATAACATGGTTGGGCTTCCTGCACTGAAATTGCTGAGAGTTCTGTAACATCTTGGTGTAGTGTGCAGGGAAAATGTTTCCTCTAATAAAATAGCATGGTGGAATAGAAAGGAGTGCCAAAAGAAGAGATCTATTAACATTTTGGTTCTGGGAATTACGTATCATAGTTTTTCACAGTTCTTACATTTTGTGGCAAACTTTAAATAGAGAATAATTATGTGACATTTACCATTCTGTAAAAGAAGCGCAATTATTTTCTCCTTTAATGCTTCTAGCTATTATAAACAATTTTAAATACCTGAATGCTTGAATAGAAATAGAGAAGGTACTTTGAACAGGAAACAATAACTTTGCATCATTATGTTTCTAATTATTTACATTAACTGAAATAAAATTGCAATAGACATCTGAAGTAAAAAGCTGTGCGTTTGCTGTCTCCCAAAGGTGACTATGTCTTAGCAATCCCAGCTCAACTTTTCATGCTCAATCACTAAACAGTATCTTTACAATTACCTCAGAAGCAAACCTCTCTAGAAAATGGAGGGATTTCCCCAGAAATACATACTATATGTCTGTGTGCTTCCCCTAGCCTCCATGCGCAGTTAAATGCAACTGTGCAGCGGATCGGTGGCATTTGGGACTAAGCAGCTAGAGAGGCAAGAAATGAGACCTCTTAAGCTGGCTCTTGTTTCATGGGTTCTACAGTGGAACAGTTTAAAACCATAGCTTGAGCGTCTTAAGTACAGATTTTCTAGATTGTTGCGTTCATTCATTACATTGTACATTAGAAGTTGCAATTAAATGTCGTATTTCTGAAAGACTTCCATGATATAAATACAGCTTTCAGTATTTCTCTTTGCTTTTTTTTTAAACTCCTTATATAAAAGAAGTGGATACTGTTTTTAGTGAAATAGTGAAGAAGTACGATTCTTACAAGTTTACTTTAGAATGTTTGTTTACAGTAGGCATTATGGCATATTACATTCATGGTTTGCTTTTATGCTGTTTTTTTTCCTTCTAATAGGTATTATAGCTGCAAATGTCTTTGTATTCTGTTTATGGAGGCTGCCCGGTATGCGACGGATTATGTTTACGTATTTCACCTCAGATCCATCCTCTAGTAAGTGAACAGTAATTTGGGGGACTTCTCTACATGAGGATGTAATAGAACCTCTGGTCATACTGTAAAAGCTTTGGCACATAGCTTACTTGCAGCTCCATCACCCACATGCAATCTCAGCCATGCCCAAATACACTATTTTGGCTAGACAGAAAACACTTCTAGGAGAAAAAAGTTAGGAACAATGGATTAAGAAAACAAACCTCACTGGTGCTTTTCTAATTCTGGCCTTTTACTGCATCTAGCAGGATGCAGCTCCTGCCTTTGTAAAAATGAAGAGGCACTTCTCTAAGTAATATTACTATGCTTTCCCTGGACAGAATGCTAATCGTGCCAGTCTTTGGGAAGGAGGAAAATAAATCATACTGTGTAATGCCATTCAAAAGCTAGTCCCAAATGTGGGGTGGGTTTTTTTTTCTTCCTTTAATGTTCTGTGGGATGCAGATAGAACAGTCAGTCACATGCATGTGTGCTTTCATCAATAGACAAGCGTTAGTCTGTATGTTATGTACAGAGTCGTTGTTTCAAAGCTGTGCTTTGGGTCACATCAAAAAATTTAAAAAAAAAGCCACACAGAAACACTTGGCTTTCCCTGTGTGTGAAATGTTTTGAAGAGGTTAACTTAGGACAGCAAGTTACTAGTATTTAATGGCAGAACAATTACTTTTCATTTCTACAGTAGAGCAAAGAATTAAAAGGATGAGACAAACATGCATTAGGAGAGTACTTTCTGCCATCCTCTTAATTTCTGCTGAAAAAGTGGAAACTAATTCCCCACACACTCCAAAGCTAAAGATAGGGGTTATCCAGATCTGAGCATCAGTCACCCCAAACACTCCTGGTTTAAATAATGTTGACCTTTAAACCTGCTAATTGGCTTTTTTCATTTTTCAAGGCTGCTGTCGCAGTGAGGAGAGCTAGCAGCTTCTTGAAAATGAGTTTTCCTTTATGAGTCCATCTCTTAGCAAAACAATTTTATATAGATGGTCATATAATATATTAAAGATCTTTCACCATATACAGATGTAAATCTCTTTTTTCCCTTCCAAAGCATAGGAGACGTGTTGTAAGATAAATGTTTTATATGAAGAATTCCCCAGTAGGTAATTAAGACTTTCTAAAGTAGCTGTTTGTACAGCTTGCATATGTCTGGGGTATGTGTTCTACCTTTCAAAAGGTATTGCATGGAATTTGAAACTTGTTACATTTCTGGGTTTATTACATAGCTTGTATTTAAGAATTCTAAACATGATTAGCCTATAGTGTGTCTTGATAAATTCCTAGTCTGCATGACATGTAAGTTAAAGCAAATTAAGACTCTGACTTCTTTTTTCCCCCCATTATTTTTCTCTTTTGTAGGAGCCCTGTGTTCTCCCATGCTGCTATCTACGTTTAGTCACTTCTCTCTATTCCACATGGCAGCAAACATGTATGTGTTATGGAGCTTTTCTAGCAGCATTGTCTCTCTTCTGGGATGTGAGCAGTTCATTGCAGTGTATCTTTCTGCTGGTAATGTTAAATACATATATATTTACAACACTTTAAAAATATATATTCATGCAAGTAAAGTGTGTGCATGGTTCATAGATGTATGAAGACAGATGGCCATCATACAGAGCAATGTGTGGGACTGAACTAACTGCAGTATTTGTTTGCTGTCGTACAGGATTTTGATAGGTTTAGGATACTTGTCTTCTAAATATCATCACGATACAAGTATCTGGCTTTAAGTCATGCTTAGCTACTAAAATTAAATAGCACTTAATACAGTCTCATGGGAGTTCTGTGGGAACAGATGATAGTTCAAGTTAAAACGAACATAGCTCCCCTTCCCGCCCGTCCCGTCCCCCCCCCAGACAAACAAGCCAACCAACCACACCACCTGCACTAGCTTCTTTAGGAAGATGTATGGATAACATTGTACTTTCTGATGCTTGTCTGCACTGCTTCCAATGGTCATTTTTCCTTTCTAGGGGTTATCTCCACTTTTGTCAGTTATGTTGCTAAAATGGCCACTGGAAGGTTTGAACCGTCCCTTGGAGCTGTAAGTATCTTGCAATATGAGAGACCTTATAATGAAGCCATTTTCAAAGCCTGCTGTATTTACCCTACTTAAAAGCCAAGAATACATTTGGGGCAGAAGAAACTAGGAAAGTTTACCAAAACCAAGGAACCAGGCAGTGATTCCTGTGTAAGAACTTGCCTATTCTTCCAATACGTTAACTCTTGCAGCAGCAGCCCAGAACTAATGCCACTTAATGCTAATAGCTTGTAAATGAGTACTTAACAGTAGGACCTCTTGTCACGGAGCAGATAGTTCAGTTCTATAACTTACACAATTATGCAATAACATTTATGAAGTATCACTGTCTTCTCTACTTGAAAATAGAATACTTTAGAAAGAGATAATGTAATCGGACAAACAAAATCAGCATGTGATACTAGTGGAAGTTGTAGGGCATGTTGTGCAGAAAGGGCAGCACTCCTGCCAAAAGTCTCACAGTATGAAAGATGGGAGGCAGGCTGAGGAGGTGTGGTTGTCTGTTCTTTACAAGTATTTTTAGTAGTAGAACATTTTAAAACACTTAACTTACTGTAAGTTTGAGGCTATAACTTAGCCATTTGCCAAGTTTTAGAGGCTTCTTAACTTACTTTACTAAATAATCTTGATAAAAGCCAAAAGTCAGATTCTTATTTCTCAATTGGAATGAAAAAAATCCTGTTGAGCAGTCTCCAAGTTAGAATTTTTGGTAGTGCTGTCTAGGTATTGTCCCTTTATTGTGTGAATAAACTGTATCTAGAGCAAGTTACTTTCCATTGGTCTTACTGATCTGAACGTACTGAAATTGCCACACATTGCATTAGTTTACTGTATTCACAGCTTTTCCATTGAAATGTTTCATGGATACAAAAGCCCATGGTCAGTTTAGAACAGGCTAGGGAATTGCTTGTTTTATTGACAAAAGATTTCTTGTCCCTGTCCATCTGTTATTTTCCTTGTTTTGGTACAAGCTTCAGAATGATTCCCTTCATCAAAGATGTCTGTTAGATTGATACATTTTAGATTTCTAGGGTTTACTGGGGAAAAAAGCACATTAACAAATTGTTATCTTAAAAATGGGGGGGGTGTGTATTTCTTAATTATATAAGAGCATGAGGGGTACTTTTTCCAGTATTTATCATTTCAAATATTGAAATTAAATAATGGTGTCTTGTTTTATTTTTATTCTGAACTTTGCTGTGGTGCTTTCTACTTTGAGGTTTACCACAGGGTTGCATTTGAAAATAAAAGCCAAAAGGAAAATGGGTTGACATGCAGAAAAATAACTTTTCCCTTATGTAACAACTCAGCTTACTTTCATGTATTTCAATGTATTTACAGTCAGGAGCTATAATGACTGTCCTTGCAGCCGTATGTACCAAGATGCCAGAAGCAAAGCTAGCCATCATATTTCTTCCAATGTTCACATTTACAGCAGGAAACGTAAGTGCCTTTGAACTTCAAAGAATTCCTACTCTTAAAACATTTTCCCCTTACCTCTCCAGTATCAGAGCATGTGTCCTCTTCGTTTGTGTTTCTAAGCTGTTAAATTTATTTTGAAAGACAATACAGGTCATGGAAGTCCTGGAGACCAATTCTGAATTGTTGCAGTATGGTCATTATGCAAGTGTGTAGTGAATTTAGAATTATCTTAAATTCCATCCTCCAGGGGTCTGTTTCAAATCTGATACTAAGAGGTGAAAGAAGTTGGGAGGGACTTGGGTTCACGGATCTGAGGAAACATGCATACATGTAGTGTTCTTTCTGATGGGTGATACTTTTTATAGTGGCATTTGTTACAGGCTAATCTAATACCGATACACTCTTTTTGAAGAAAAGCTTATCAAGGTAGGAAAAACAGAATTTCACTTATCAAAGGAAATAACATTCCAGCCGTGGAGGAATATCTGCCTTCTCATTTGGATACCATCTTTTTGATACTTTTAACAACACCCTTGGGATTAGAAATATACTACTGAGCCTTTTCTTTGTGTCGTACCAGGACTCCTTTTTTGTTTCATTAAGTTCTTTTAAGTGCATTCACTACCCCATTTAAGAAAAGCTTCTCACATATACCTTGACTTGCTTTAACTTAATCATCTTTGATCCACTACTTAAAGTTGTTTTACTTAAAGCAGTTAAGCTTTGTCATTTCAAGATCATGAGATCTAATTTTTTTTAATAAGTGAAGTTTACAGATTTGAACACATGTTCTTAGATGTAGCCTTTGTGTTTTTCTTGCCCTTCTGCTTGAGTGGACCTGTTTTTTCACATGCTACCCTCTAACTGTCTCTTTCATAAAAAAAGATGGCCAGGCTAGAAATATTGGCAGAGCCACAGAGAGCGATACCATGAGGAAGTACTCATTGCAACAGTAAAACAGAGCAGCATTGGCTATTGCAGTATAAACGCTGACATAATTGTAGCCCTACTACATAACTGTCTTTCTAAACTTTGTGTACTCCTTTAGCCTACCTTACACATACTGTAATCAGCTTTTAAAATAAACAAGCCAATGTAGCAATATAGCTGCTATTCTAACACATATGGTTAAGGAAAGAAATCCTGCTTAAAGTAACATTTCATCCTAACAGTAAATCTGTTGGTCTTTTTGAAACGAGGCATTTAGTAAGATTTTACATAATTACAGTTATGGTGGTTTGTGTCTCCTGAGGATGGCATACTGTTGCTCATGCTGTTTCTGGCCATGGAGCTGCTCACTACCATCCTGATTTTCTACCTTCCAACAGATGTGTCATTTAGGAGAGTGTGATGATCAGTTTATATCAGATGAGATAACAGGGATAATGTCCCACATGTTCCATCCACTAGAGGCTTGTGTTTGGGAGGACAGATGCACATAAATATGTCATAATTAGTGAATGAGAGTGTTGCAATTATGTATTTTGTGGTGTCTTTTATAGCACATAGGCTTTCAAGTAGCTTTTTTTTTCCTGACCCGAATTTGAAACGTATGTGTAGCTTTAGAAATGAAGTTTGGAAGAAACAGACTATTTGAAAAGGACACATTCCTACCCCACACTGTTCTGTACCTGCTCATGTCTGTATTTTGACAGCACAGTACAGCTAAGAACCGAGTCTGTTGTTTTAAAACTTTTTTTTTTACAGTGATTGCTTTGATATAAAATTTATGGGATGTTTTTGGATCCCAAATTTTTGCTCTGTGCCAGAATATGAAACTTTGTTATCAGTGGCCATTATATGCTGTGACTGATCCTGTCTATTCCATGTTCTGTTCCTTTCCAGGCTTTAAAAGCCATAATTGCATTTGACACTGCTGGGCTTGCTCTAGGCTGGAGACTTTTTGACCATGCTGCACATCTTGGGGGAGCTCTCTTTGGAATGTAAGTCTGTATTCACCAACTTCTGTTTGTTTCATAGTTAAATTCATCCTATATTTTTTCCCCTCTTTAATTCCTCTGATCTCTGAAGCGTAGGGATTTTTTGGAAAGTTATCTTAAGTAACATTGAAGATAACTCACTGTAATCCTTGTAGTGCTATAAAATTATGTGGAAAATATTGTTAAAAGGTGCTTAGACCTGAAAGAAATTGAGCTGAACTGCCTTAGAACGATAGATTAGATGTCAGATTGTCCTGTCACCATAGCCTGGGCTGTCTGTCCTGCTCTCCCCAGCACATTGAAGACAGTCACAAGGCAGAAAAGATTCTCACAAAACACAGCATGAACAAATTAAAATAACTTCAGAATTAAACAGTTAAGAAAATTACTTTGTCTCTGTGTTTTTCCTCTAATTGCCAATTTAGAGAGATCTACAGAGTTAGTACAAGCTCAGGCCAAATTCCTTTGAGCAGCCCCTACTACTCTTTCTCAGTGTCGCTGCATTGTCTTTGTGTGGAGCCTTCCTAATTGGGAAGAACTACTAGAAACCAGTTTGTAGGAAACAGTTCTGCATTGTTCCATGTTTGAACTACATTACCTAATGAGTTTTTCCCCTTCTACCTACTATTGTGCTGTCTCAATTTGCACACTTTTTGCTATTTCTTGGCTTTGGTGTCAATAAGGAGACTGTGCAGCACAGAGTTTTTCTCCCCTTCTCTGGCATCACAAATGCATTTGGTGTAGTCTCGCTGATTCGTAACCACTTTCTGCCATGATGAATCTATATCAGCTTATTGTAATGCAGATTCACATACTAAAATAGGATAGCAGTTGCAGTAAAAATTGTCTTGAGTTGACAAGTATCTTGCCTTCCTCACCTACATATGTTCTACCTATATATTCTACTCTGGGATCATTTTGGTCACTTCATCCTAAAACAGGGCCTTTATTTAGGACATATGTTGAACGGGCAAAGTATTTTCTGTACATTGCCCCATGGACCATTGTCCACTTCAGAAAGTGGCTATATGATTTAAAGAATAGCCGATTTACCTAGCACTGGCTGATGGCTCATATAAAAGCGCTTTTGTTATTCAGGACTCAGGTGAGAAGTGAGGCTTGTGGGAGAACCTTCAACCTATTTCCATACGGTTGCTTCCCCTCCCACCTCTCCTCTCCACCGTAACTTCCCTTGCTTAGTCACTTATGTTGATATTCGTGTATCAGCATATATAGTTCTCTGAATATAAGTTAAGCTAGAACACTTCAATAGATTAAATCTTCATTTAGATATTTATAGAAGAAAATTCACTTTGAATGGAACATGGCTGTTCATTATGGGACAGTTGTATTTAGATATGAGAAAAATACTTTGTATTGTCAGTAAGGATTAGCACAAGCAACACTACTGTTCTAACAGTCTCCTAAATGGAAATAGCTTTTTGCATCTTTAAGTAGAAATCACAAGAGCATGAAATTAAAGGCATGAAAACCATTCATTCTCAGGTCTGAGACAAGCAACAACACAAAGAAGTTAACTAATTGGGAGTCAAGAGAACAAGCGGCTTACCTGCCACTGCCAGCTTCCAAGAATGTTGTTCTTTCTGCCTCAGTTTATCTTGTCTCCTATACTAAGCATTTGAGTTGCTTGATTTTCATGATCAGCCTGTTCTTCAGATACTAGTTAAAACTAACTGCAACTTTTCTCTGTATTTTCTTTCTCAGGTGGTACGTGACTTACGGCCATGAGCTCATATGGAAGAACAGAGAACCACTGGTGAAAGCTTGGCATGAAATGAGGACAAAGAACACAGGAAAAGGAGGAGGTGGAAGATCTAACTGATTCCAATCCTAGATATTCCTTATGCCCTATAGTGGTATATTACTTGAAGACATGGGATTGAATTGGTTTCAAAGTTTTTTTGCTACTCCACATTAAGCCTCTAAGGAGCTGAAGTTTCTAATGTAAACTACAGTTACGAAAATGCATATCCATAGAAAATGAACTCTTGACAAAGGTGGAACAATAAAGGTTTTTATCTTACTGCGCTCTGAGATAACAGTCTACATTACATTTTTAAAGGAGGAATAAAAAGCTTTCCAATGAAGTGACCAAAGGCTCTGTGAAAAAACTTCAAAGTGGGGTACAATTAGTTAATACTTAGGAAGATAAACATTTTTAAAACTGCAGAAGTTAATGGATCACACATCTCCCGAATATCCACCAAACTTAAGTGCTTTCCTAGAAGGCACGCGTTAAACACGTTGGACTCAACTTAAGGCTAATGCGGTGAAGTTCAGTGGTCTTCATTGTTAAAAAAATTGGATAAGCCAATTGTCTCTTTTGATCTTAAACTTGAAATACATAAAGCAATACTGGATTGTTTGCCAAAGCTTACATACTGGTTAATGGTCCAGCTTTATTTGTCAGGTGTGGCTTATTCAACTTATGTTTTTCATTTCTATCTGCTGCCAAGATGCTGTTACATCTGGTTAGAATTTACTACAATAACACTTTTCCTTTTTCATAATCACTTGCTATGGAAGAATGACTTACACTGTGGTTTTGGGTATTTTTTTTTTTACCATGAGTTACACTGCTTCCTCTATTATTTCACTGCATTAGTTTGTTTTTTTTTTTAAGTTGTGCTGTATTGTTAGTTTTGTAGGTTTTTTCTAAGAATTTTAAAACAGTAACATCTGGTTCAGAATGTGCCAGTTCTAGAAAAATATGCAGCTTCAGCAAAAATAGATGAGGTCCTCGAGATCAGCAACGCTGTAACCAGAACTAACTAATAAGATAAACCTTAGGGTACTACCATGACCAATGTTCCTATTATACAAATAAAAACAAAAATTGGATTTTGGGTATGTTGCTACTCTGTGCCTGTCCTGCAAGGATGACTACCAAGCCCTCTGCAAGGGGCTGAGGAGTCTGCCCAGATATAAGCTGGTGGGTTCAAACCCTTAACTCTTCCCTGTAGGCTGACTCAGTCAGCCAAGATGGACCAACTTGCCAACAAACACTGCATCTGCAAGAAGCAATTTGTGCCTTTTTACTTTACAGCAGTGCCTTGCAGAAAATACATTTCCTGTAGGGATAAACAATACATAATGCTAAATGGCACCAGTTGTAATAAATGGAGTAAAAAAATTGCTGTAAACTCCCTTTCTGCCACAGGCCGGTGCTCAAGTCTAAATTTTTTTCTCCCTTGGAAAATGAGACACTTGAGGCTTTGTTCCTTTAAGTGCCTGTCAACTTATACACTTAAAAAAAAGTGAAATAGTTGGAGTATCTAATAGTCCTCTGCTCCACTCCAGAAGCTTTCTGGCTTTCTGTTTCTAATCTGTCACTACATGTCCTTTCCTACTTTCTTCTCTGATACTCGGGACAAGTTTTTAGGACTTCATCCACAATGCAGCCCTGCCTGCAGCAGAGGGCCCCCCCCACACAGAGCCAGCCACAGCACTGCCAGTGGCAGGGGGCCGGGGGAGGGAAGAAGCCAGCAGCATCAGAAGATGACCACTGAATGGGCTTGTTTTAAGGGAGTATTTCATGCCAAAGAATCTCAAAAGCCATAGCTCACAACATTTTGCCTGTTGGTTTTATACCCATCTAACCCTGTTGTCTGTCCGCTTCCTTTTGGGTTTTTTCCCCTTCTCTTCCTTGCATTACCTCTTGTCCACTCAACAACTTACCTAGTCTCTTCAACACTACTGTATTTGCTGAGGGGTTTTTTTAGAGATCCTGTATGAAAGCAGCAGGGAGTAATATTGCAGGACATGCAGTGTATAAACCCTGACAGACATTATATTTTACAGGTCTAGAAGAAAAAGCCAAGGCAAAGTTCTTCATAGTGGCCAGTGCCTACCTCGAAGCGTGAAAGTCATGCCCCTGTATCCCTTGCAGGAGTGCCACCCTCATGGTCTGTTAGACCTGCTTAAGGTAGCGCAGCATTGCTGCACCCTTTCAGCTTGCAGGAAGGGCACAGATGAGCACAGAGATGCATTCAGGCTGACCCTTCAGAGGCAATGCCTGCACTCACTTCTGGCTTCTCTGAGTTGCAGGGGCTCAAAGCTCCTGAAAAGCCATCCTTGGAACTGCCAGAGAGGTTTGGAAGTCACCATCTTTTTGGTGAGTGGCTGTGGTTTGAGGGTCTCATGCCTAAGCTTCACCTTAACTTTAGGCCTAACAGCATTCACCCTTCTAAAGGCTGTTCAATACCTGAATCTCCCTCATCTGTAGAAACCGTAGAGATATTTAACATAGGTAAGGTTGTACAAAAACATAGATGTGGCCAAGCAGTGGGTTTCGTGTCCCTTTGTACCTGAGCCTTTGTGCAGCGTTGTCTGCCAAAGGTAAAGCATCTTCTCTGGTCCAAAGTGAGTTTCAAACTGCAATACTGTCAATACTCAAGTCAGTCAGACAAGGAACGGCCTGGAGTTACGACAGCTCACTAACATAAATAAGATAACTTTCTGGCAAGCAAATGCCCTTCTTGCAAAACCTGGCATCAGTACCTGCCAGTATCTGTATTTAGTCACACCTTTGAATGGTGAAGAAGTTAGAATAATATAAAAAACCCACACCAGAAAAAAAAACAACCAACCACCTAAAACAAAACTAACCACATGGAAAGACTTTTTTCCTCCCCTTTTCAAAGAGCTTATTATTGTGAATAAAAATACAATGTGGTAATTATGTGGACACTTGGCAGAGACAGCAGCTAGTGTTTGCGCAGGAAAAATAGCAGTAAGTATAAAGTCATGGTTACTCATGTAGGACACAATCCTTCATCCCTTTTCAATAGCTTTAGGAAAGTCTGCTGTGGCCTTGCTGAGTTTAAAGAATATTTCTTTTGCTTCAGTGTAGTGATCTGCTCTATTGAAATTTCATTTTAGAATGAGAACAAGCTGCCTGTTTGAGCTTTCAGCCTCCATTCCTGGCAGCAACAGCTCTTTTGCTTTCTGATGGAATGGCTTGCTTTTGTCTTACTGTTGCAGTATCTCCCTTCTCCTCCCTCCCCCCCCCCGCCCCATTTTTATCATGATAAATCTCTTCTAAATGCAGACAACTTTTTAATCTCATCCAGCCTCTTCTGGTTTCCCTGTCTGAGATAGCCTTTGTGCCAATTACATCCTACAAGCTATGATGAGCAGCTGCTCAAAGCACTCCCTGATGCTGTAGGTGGGCTCCGAGATGTGCAGTGCCAGAGCTGAACTCAGTGCTAGGAAGCGGCAGGCACAGGGAGAGCAGAGACATCCGATTTATTCTCCGATGCATTTTGCTAAGTCAGGCCTAGGAACAAGGATCAGAGCATCATTTGTACTGTGCTAGTGCTGATGATAAAGCAGATGTTCTGTTTTCTCCCATGACTGTAAAATCCATTTCTTTTTACCAGGGTAAAGTGTTGTACAATTCACCCAAATATGACTTATTTTTAAAAAATTACTATGTAGAGCAGAGTCATTAAAAAAAAAAAAAAAAAAAGCAGCAGAAAAGGAAGAAAGGTCTCCCTGCATCTTCCTAAAAGTAAAGTGATGTTTGTGGGTTTTTCAGGCAACAAATGAAATGCAGCATCCAATATCCCATATGTTATTGTGTCAAGACTTCTGTGTTGGGACCAAAACGCTGTTACCTGAAATTTCTGAGCCTCCTTGCTCTAACTGACATGCAGGTGGGGGGTGAGGGGAGTGGGTGTGTGAAATCAAAACTGCTAGCAGCACCAGCAAGTGCCAAATCGGATATTTAGGACAACAGGATCAGCTGCAAAATAATTTCTTTCTATCCCTTAATGACTGTGTTTCAAAGAGAGGCCAAGCATTCAGGGAGAGGTTCTGCCTCAGTCCGTATCCACATTTCTAGCGCTCCTCCCCACCAGAAGCAGGTGCAAATCTGGACTGAGGTGCTAATACACTACAGATACAAACCGCTGAGCTGGAATAAAGCTTTTCGAGTTCAACTGCATAATTACTTATTAGATCTCATCAGATAACCACCTGTAACTAGATTACTACATTCTAAAATGAGGTACCTACATAGTTAGCCTTTAAATAGATATTTCCTAATAGGTAGCATCTCATATTGCCTGCATTCTTCACTTTTACAGACTTACATTTCACAGTTTGGTGAAGATGCAGCTTCTTCTGCAGTAACACCCTGAATAGGGAATTGTGGAGGAGCATTATGGCCTGTAGCCACTTATTACATAAGATGTCAAATTTCCAAAGCCAGACTTATCCGTGATGTGATTCTGTCAGCTTCGGCACTTTGTGCCAGGACTGTTTGGTTTTCAACAGGAATGCACAAAGAAAAGCTGTGGTTTCCAGGCTCTGGCAAGCAGTAAATTATGTGGATAATATATTAAATATATAACAGGCGCTTGGGTTTTCGACAATAGGTAGTATTTTAAAAGTGAGATGGTTAAACCGATAATGTAAGGGGGAGGGGGGTGTTAAGCAAGGGTTTGGTTTGTGCGGGGGTTTATTTTTAAAACACGGCTATTGGGAACTAACATTGCAACGCTGCCATTTCTCATCACGATCGCTTATTTGGCGAGCGTTAGGTTTTGCACACAAATGCTTTCTCTAATCATAAATGCTCACGGCCAGCTTGAAACCACAGCTGAGCAGCACTGCCCAGCTGCAGCAGGCGACGTTGCTTGCTCGGCCGGTGCCTGCGACCGGACG